CCAGAGTCTCAGGGATTCCACTATTCTCTATCTGACCATTTTTTTTTTTTTTTTTAATGATTTTGAGTTTTATTCCACATATTTCTTTCACTCTATCCAGAACTTTCTAATGTGATCCCTTCCAGAGTGGTCACTAATGGTAGCCAGAAACCATCTAGTTCTGGTCTCAGGATCGTGGAAGCTAGATAATTCTTAAAAGAGCATAATCCTCAAGGGAGATTTTCTCACTCACTATGGCTTCACTATGTCTAGCGTCCATGAGAATTTGAAATTCTGTTCTGCATTTCCCCCTTTTTGATCACATTCTTATACGGAATGTTCAGTAAGGGTAGATGCATATCATCCAGTTCTTCTGGTCTCTTGGCAAAGGAGGCAGCTGTTCATGGAGGCAATTAGCCACACATTGCATGTCCTCCTCCTATTCATGACTCTCCTTCTTCCTCTGTTGTTCTAGGTGAACACAGACTAATTGTTATGACTTGGATGGCACTACACAAAGAACTAGGAGGTAGAACCGAGCACTAAACACATTATTAGGCCAATTTAACTGGATGTCCCACGAAACCATGACCCTAAACCTTCAAACCAAGGAACCCAATCCCATGAGCTGTTTGCTTCTACATAAGCAATTTCAGGAGGTACTTTTGTTGTTCTTGTTATTGTTGTAAATATGACTATTAGTCAACTTTTGCCAATTCAATTTTTTATAGTTGCACAACTTTTTGACAGCAATTACCATAATCAGCTATACAACCCTACACTGAATCAATGTGACTTTCCCATCACCATGATCCCTCCCTTTCTCCCTGGTAACCACTAATAAACTTTGGTCGCTACACACTTCCCCTTTCTTGTCTTTTTATATAAGTGAAGTCATACAATATTTGTTCATTTGTGACTGACTTATTTCACTCAGCATAATGTCTTCAAGGTCCATCTATTATTTTCTTCATTCTTCTTTCCTCCAATAGAGACAGACCAATAGTTGCATCTTAGAGGCTGCTCACTAGATTTTCTAGTCACTACTTACCACAGTAGGGTGAAGAACAGTGTCTTTGTGAACTACGTTATGCCCACTGACTTAACTGTTCCCCGAGACTGAGGCCCTTAGCCTCCAAGCCCAGTGACTCATTCTATAATATATTTGTTTACGGCTAAGAAGTTTTCATAACTTTGCCCTCCATTTGCTCTACTATATACATGGATATATTTACAGCACATATAAATGTGTACATAGAAATATCTTTTGCTAAACCTATATATAGTCATAAGTGTAGTCCCTATTTCTAGTTTTTTAAGGAACTTCCACACTGTTTTCTACAGTAGTTGTATCATTCTATTCCCACCAGCAATATAAAGGTTCCAATTTCCCCACATTTGTGATTTTCTATTTTTTCATCTTAGCCACCTAGTGAGAATGTAATGACATCTCACTGTGGCTTTGCTTTGCATCCTTCTGATGGCTAATGATGCGGAACATCTTGTCATGAGTTTGGTGGCCATTTGGTCAGCCTTTCTTAACCAGTATTCCACAAGAGAATTAAACCCTATAGAAAATGACTGGAGAGATCACTGTCTCAAATTTCCCAAAGATGGTACTTAGCTAATGGATTTCTAGATGCATATTTAAAAAACAAAAACAAACAAACAAAAAACACTGCCATCAAGTCAATTCTGACTCATAGTGACCCCCACTGGGTTTCCAAGGTGGTAAATCTTTATGGAAGTAGAGTGGCTGGGGGATTTGAATTGCCAACCCTCTGGTTACCAGTCAAATATCTTAGGCACTACCCCACCAAAGCTCCTTTAGATGCATATAAAAGATGCTAATTCATTCCATACAATGGTTGTCTTAAGGCATTAGGCCTTAATTCTTTTAAAAACTCTGGTTGAGATGGCCTGAGTCTAGATAGAGAAACTAAGCAAGAGGGATTTCAATCAGGGGGATAGAAGTCACAGTGAAGGGCAGGAGTGAGACACACACCAGTTGGAAAACAGTAAGTCAAAGTTTGCAAACTGAATTAAAAGGCTCACAGCCCCCTCCCCCTGTGCAGCTCCCAGGACACTTGTTTATACCTTAGGGGGAGATAGGAATCTTCAGATTGACTCTACAGTAAAGTCACAGTTATGAAACTCTACTGTGTACCTCATCATTAAATGTAAACAAAGTGTTTAGGATCACCTGACATGTAAGGAAAACCTCCTACATGAATGACAGAGACCAAACTAACTAAGGAAAAAGAGTTCAAAAGAAACAGACACAGTGCAAGGAAATAAACATGTAATAGCCTCAGAGAAAAAGACACTGCTTCCAAGAGGTAGGAATAGATTGCTATGAAAAAGGGAAAATTAGAGAATAAGGATGAATTTTTGCTAATTAAAAATATGTTTACCAAAATAAGAAAATTAAATGAAAAGATTTAAAAACAAAAACAAAACCCAAGCCAACTGCTATGGAGTCAATTCTGACTCATAGCAACCCTGTAGGACAGAGTAGAACTGCCTCATGGAGTTTCTAAGACTAAATCTTTACAGAAGCAGACTGCCTCATCTTCCTCCCTTAAGAATGGCTGGTAAAGTCAATCCACCAACTTTTCAGTTAGCAGCTGAGTGTTTAAATCTCCTCTGTCTGATATTCAGAGTCCCCCACCACCTGGCACAATCTACTTTGGCAGCCTTCAGTGTACTCACAGGTCCCCAGCTCTGATCTGAGCTTTCTTTGCCTTGCTTTTGCTGTTTGCACATCTAAAATGTCCTCTTGAGAGATGTGACACTGTCCTTGAATCCCCAGCTCAAATATCACTTCCTCCATGAAGCCACCTGGGATCTGCCTAGAAGGGCTTGGGCAACCCTATCTCTGGACATGGAAGCTCTTTTGGCCCCTGTAGGCATTTCCTATGTTTTATATCTTTCCTCTCGTGTTGGATTATGGTACTGGAGGACAGAATTTAAATTATCTTTTATCCCCAGAGCTTAGTACAAGGTCTAGCACATGATGACATGGATTAGTGTGTTTGCTGAATGAAAGAGGCTAAAAGAATGACAGTTACTATGAATCATACCTTAAATCCTGCAGGCCTGGAATTAGACATCCTCATTCTGCCCAAAATGACTGTTCTAAGGTCCTGTTAGGGAGATTCTGGTACAGACAGGGCAGTGAAGGCTCTCCCTTTTATATGTACTAAATCCTTCAGTGCCCAGGCTTGTCACACCAAGCTGAAGGCAGAGAAGAAGAACGTACACATATATGCACTTACTCCCTCACTGCCATCAAGCCCATTCTGACTCATAGAAATCCCCATTGGGTTTCCAAGGCTGCAAATCTTTACAGAAGCAGACTGCTTCATCTTTCTTCCACGGAGCAGCTGGTGGATTTGAACCACCAACCTTTTGATTAACAGCCCAATGCCTTAACCATTACACCACCAGGGCTCCTTGAACAAATAGTCCAGTAGGGCCAAATATTCTCAACTAACTTCTGTGAGGAGTCTGAGTGCTGCGAAAACTCAATACCCCCAGCAAGCAGTTACATCATATCCAAGACAATAGGAAAAAGCTGTGTCTGATTCGGATGGCTGCCACCTCCCTGCCTGGCCTCTTCCCAGCCCATGCTCATTCAACCATAGCATCTGTGATGTTTCACATGTTCACATTTATTACAAACTATAACCGAGGCTGTACAGCATCGTGCTCATTCTGGAATGATAACTCTCTGGCAGTCGACTGCTTTCTGAACTGAACATATGTTTCTAATTCAGAGTGACCATATGAGATGAATTCTTCATACAAGCCAAATGTTGCTCCCTGGTATGTTTTAATGCCTGAGGAATGGCATGAAAGAGTGGATCAGCAACATGTCTGCTTGCTCTTGGTCCTGGGAACTGCCACACAGCCTTATGTCCTGACTGCCTACCTGGTCAGTGCCACTGAGAGGGTCAGGCAGGTCCCTTCTTGATACCCAAATAATATGAAGGGCTACCCCCTTTCCTTTTAAAGTTATTGCTGAAATATTAAAATCTAAGAAAATCCCAATAATTCACAAGTTCCATGTGCTAAAAATTGCATATTTTTGCATTAATTATCACCCTGACTCCATTTACATAGGTCTGGCTTCCTTTGGTCTCCTCTCACAGCTAGCCAGGAAACCTTGCTTTCACTAGGTACCCTTAGCTACTGCGGTTGTGGGAAGGGGCAGTTAGCATATACCTAGGGGCAGTGACAGGCCATTGGTAGAATTCTCACGTTCCATGCAAGAGACTTGGGTTCCATTCCTGCCTGTGCACCTCAAGGTCAGTCACCACCCACCTGTCACTGGAGGCTTGCATGCTGCTATGATGTTGAACAGGTTCAGCACAGCCTCCACACTAAGACAGACTAGGAAGAAAAGGCCTGGTGACCTACTACTTCTGAAAATCAACTAGTAGAAACCCTATAGATTACAAAAGTTATGTACTGCAGCCAATCACAGGATGGAGCAGGACCCGGCACCATTTTGTTCTATTCCTCACGGAGGGGCCAGGAGGCTGGCCCCTAGCAACAGTAATATCAGCATGGACCTGGCCACTAGGTGGTGTTTTGTCATGGAAGAAGAGGCTGTAGGGCCCAGGCCCAGGCCTTAGACGTTAGGGCCAGTGTTTGAGGCCTGCCTGTGGGAGACCAAAGAAACTTCCTGAGGGGACCAGGTTTGCTGGTCTGATAGAGCCTGGTGGAACCACTGAGACTATGGCCCCTAGCTGTCCCTCTGGTCTGGAATTGAACCCATACCTGTGGCTTCCAGCCAAACAAAAGACAGGCATATGAGTTGAACATTTACCGAGGTAGATACACTCCTTGGAGAGAACAATCATGAGAGAAAGAAGGGCTGCTTATGCACAGGGTGACAGCTCAAGGGGCAGGAGAGTATGGAGGGATGGACACAGAGAAGAAGTAACTATAAGGAGGAAGTGGGAGGGGAGCTGTTGCATTGTGGTAAACTGTGGTCAATGTCATGAGACAAAGTGTATGTGAACTACTGTATGGAAAGTGAATTTGCTGTATAAATTTTCACCCAAATCACAATATAAATAAATAAATAAGAAACCTCCTGAATTATCAACCACTTAAACAGACTCCATTCCTGCAGTGTCCTCCTGCTGGCCAGACAGACAAGGTGGCGCCCTGCTAACTTTAAAACACTTTACAAATGCAAAGTGCAATTTATGAGATGTAGATTAAGGTAAAATCTAATCTGCCAGATATCTAAAGGGTGCACCTGCAGACCAAACACCAAAACTGTAAAAGTATTTTAAAGATGTTGGTTGGTCCAGGCTACAGACTAACAAGAAAATCCATCCAAAGGCTAGCATGTGAAGGCCTAAGCTGACGGATGTAAGGAGTTTCTCACAAGGGATTGCCACGATGAGGACAGATTGGAGTTTCAGGGAAATGGCCCCAGCATCACTGACCTAGAAGTGAGAAATGCCTGAATCATCAGGAAATTCGAGGAGACTGGGGTTCTGGTGCTGACGTGGCAGATGTCATGGGTTAAAAATGGCTTCTCTGGAGGATACCATTGCTGATCTTCCATGCAAGCAGATGAAGGGGCTTTCTGATAAGCAAGCAGGACGGGAGGGTTGGTGGCCTCCGGGGCTGACAGGTAGGCTTTCAAAAGGATGCTCAGGGCTGAGGAGAAAATTGACAGGAAATGTGTTCTCTTGACAACATAGGAAGGGAAAGCACGTGTGCATCGGAACAGCTCTGCTCCAAGCAAACGACCATCTAGAATGCTATTTCTGGCTTGAGTTGGGATAAAGAGAAAATGCTCAGGTTTCAAAAAGGAGCATCATGTGGGCTGATTATGTCAGGGACCACACTCACTCTTCCTGGGACAGCAGAGACTGCATCAGCTGAGCCAAGAACAGTCCAGACGTGACCACAGTAAAACCCCATGGAATAGGGCTAAACAGGGAACACTGGTCTAAATTTCTGGAATGTACAAACTAGAGAACATATCTAAATCTAAATACAACTTCATTGTGTGAGTTACAATTTTTGGCAATGCTTTGAAACTGGAAAGCAATTTTACTATCCATGACCCCAGAGATCAGGGCCTGGGGCTTGAGCCTGCTTGCCTGCCTGAGCATCAGGGTCACTTGGGAATTGTGGGGTTTTTTTGTTATTGTTGAAATTCACAAGCTAATTCTAAAATGCGAATGAGTATCTACGCTATCTGATTTTAAGAATTACTATAAAGTATGGTAATCAAGACAGAGGAGGACAATTACGGTTCAGTGATAGAATCCTCGACTTTCATGCATAAGATCCAGACTTGATTCCCAGCCAATGCACCTCATAAGCAAACATCACCCACCTGTTAGTGGAGGTTTGCATGTTGTTATGATGCTGAACAGGTTTTAGCAGAGCTTACAAACTAAGACTAGCAAGAAAGGCCTGGCGACCTACTTCTAAAAATTATTGCCGTTGCCATCAGAGTAGGTGATTTTACTCTCTCTCTTCTCTCTCCCTCTCCCACTCATGCCTCTGCTCTTTTTCTGGGCACAGCCCACCCTGGGTGGCTGTTATCCTATTGCCTCCAAGATGGCACGGTCCACATTGCCTTGTGTCCACTCAAATGGTCGTCTTAGTTTTGGGAAGAGAGCTGTAGAGTTATTATTTTTAATTACAAATTCCTGGGCCTTACCTCAGCTCTATCACTCCTGAGTGAGCCCAGGAGTTTTTATGTTTTAAAGCTCCCAGAGTAGTCTTTGCAAGCAGCATGAAAAAGGCTGAGTTCTCAGAACAAAGCAGTTCCAAATTCAAGGTTAAGAGAGAAAAAAGCAGTTGCTACCAACATTAACCGAAGAGCACTGTAAAAACCAGATGCCTATAGGGTAAAAGGATGTGAATTTTCAGTTCGGAAT